CCCAAAACCCCAAAACCCCAACAATTATTATTTTCAAAATCAATCATGCATAAAAAAGATTATTATAATATTTATACTTTTGTGATTATAAACTAATGAAATTATTTAACAAGTCTTCGCTGCTTAAGAGACTTTGTGGCAATTTTACTAGTAAAAGGCAATTTTCAAGCAGTTTTTAGCCAGTCAGATAAGCTTAAGTAATTGTAGTAGGGGGAGGGCATGCTGGCTGCGAAGCCGCAAGTGCTGCTGCAAGAACTGGAGCTTAAACACTTTTAGTAACACAGAAACTATCTACAATAGGTGAAATGTCATGTAATCCTTCAATAGGGGGTGTTGGAAGAGGTACCCTTATAAGAGAAATTGATGCAATGGGAGGAGTCATTGGTAAATGCGCTGATCTGTCAGGCATCTAATTCAAAGTCCTGAATAAAAGCAAGGGTCCTGCAGTATATGGGCCAAGAGCTTAGATTGATAGAGATCTATATGCTAAAAACATGCAGAATATAATAGCGAATACTGAAAACTTAGAGGTCTATCTGGGGAGTGTTCATGATTTGATAGTTGAGGATGGACAGTGTAAAGGGATTATTTTAGAGAATGGAGAGCACATCAGATCTCATAATGTCATTTTGACTACTGGAACTTTTCTAGGTGGTAAATGTTATATCGGTTAGAAGCAAATATCAGCAGGAAGGTTTATGAGAAGTGGGGATGGAGTTGAGGAGGCAAGTGATGGATTAGCTCACTCGCTGAGAAAGACATTCCCTATTGATAGATTAAGGACTGGAACACCGCCGAGGTTAAACGGGAAGACTATAAACTATGAAGGAATGGAGATCCAAGTAAGCGATGATAAAATATAGTTCTTCAGCTATGTTCATGAATTCAAATAGCTTTAGCCAGTTAATCCTCAGATAAAGTGCTATATTACAAGAACTAATGCTCATGCACATTAAGTGATTTTGGATAACTTACATCTATGCGCAAAGCTTTCTCGAGGAGGTGGATATGGAGTAGGTCCTAGATATTGCCCGTCAATTGAGAAGAAGCTAGAGAGATTTGCAGAAAGAGATGGCCACAATGTCTGGCTTGAACCAGAAGGACTCTCAACGGATGTTATATACCCAAACGGTATTTCAACAGGCGTGCCAGAAGAACCCTAAAGAGAATTTCTGAAAAGAATACCAGGACTTGAAAATGTAGAGATGATAAAGCCTGCTTACATTGTTGACTACGATTATATTGATCCAAAGACGGTTCTAACACATACACTTGAAACTAAGCAAGTTCCTAATTTATTCCTCGCTGGGCAGATTAATGGAACTACAGGTTATGAAGAAGCTGCTTGCCAAGGTCTAGTAGCAGGAATCAATGCTGGTAGGAAAGCCTAGGGTAAATCGCCATTTATATTAAATAGAGAAGATGCCTTGACTGGAGTATTAATAGATGACTTGATAAAGGACGGAGCTGAAGAGCCTTACAGGATGTTTACTTCAAGGTCAGAGTATCGTTTAACAGTGAGAGCAGAGAACAGTGACTTCAGACTGTCTCCAAAGGCTTTAGACCTAGGTATCTTATCTGAGGAATAAGAATTGATATTCAAAGACAAGCAAGAGCTAAAAGAAAAGGCTCTTGAATTCGTGATGTATTATTCACTGCCTAGCTAGAAATGGTACAATAGGGGAATAAAGATGGCCTCGTCAATTAAGACTGATTAGGTTTCAGCTTTCAGAATAATGGGCTATCCAGGGATTGAGCCTGAGGCAGCTTAGAGAGCTTGGTAAATGGATGAACCAGAGAGGGAGATTGACTCTAGAATTATGGATCATATATATGTGGAGTCATAGTATAGTCACTATGCAAGCTAGTAAAAAAGAATGGCTCAGCACAATTAGAAGTATTAGTATGATAAGCTGTAAAATGAGATTAATTGATTTGATAAAAGAATGCTTTTGATCATGAAACTAATTCTTATTGTTTAGTTTAATTAATTGTGAATATAATTACTTTGATTATCATAGAGAATAATTTCTAAAGGGGTTTTGGGGTTTTGGGGTTTTGGGGTTTTGGGG